ATATATGTGCCACATCTTCTTTATCCATTCATCTGTCGATGGACACTTAGGTTGCTTCCATGTCCTGGCTATTGTAAATAGAGCTGCAATGAACATTGTGGTACTTTACTCTTTTTGACTTATGGTTTTCTCAGGGTATATGCCCAGTAGAGGGATTGCTGGGTCATATGGTAGTTCTATTTGTAGTTTTTTAAGGAACCTCCATACTGTTCTCCATAGTGGCTGTATCAATTTACATTCCAACCAACAGTGCAAGAGGGTTCCCTTTTCCCACACCCTCTCCAGCAATTACTGTTTGTAGATTTTTTGTTGATGGCCATTCTGACCAGTGTGAGATGATATTTCATTGTACTTTTGACTTGCATTTCTCTAATGATTAATGATGTTGAGCATTCTTTCTTGTGTTTGTTGGCAATCTGTATATCTTCTTTGGAGAAATGCCTACCTAGGTCTTCTGCCCATTTTTGGATTGGGTTGTTTGTTCTTTTGATACTGAGCTGCATGAGCTGCTTGTAAATTTTGGAGATTAATCCTTTGTCAGTTGCTTCATTTGCAAATATTTTCTCCCATTCTGAGGGTTGTCTTTTGGTCTTGTTTATGGTTTCCTTTGCTGTGCAAAAGCTTTTAAGTTTCATTAGGTCCCATTTGTTTATTTTTGTTTGTATTTCTATTTCTCTAGGAGGTTAGGATTTTCTATATACAAGATGATATCATCAGCCAGAGGATTGGAGAGGAGGGAAAGGATGTGACCCTCCTCCTGAATCTCATTTGTGAGCATGTTTGTTCTGATTCAAGTCAGATACTTTTATGATTCAAGTTAACTGTTTTATGAAGGTTATATCATTCTATTCCGGGAAGAAAATGTTTTATGGAAGCCAGACTCTGAATGCAGATTTAAATTTTGGAATTCTCTTTGGTAAAGACAAAGTAGAACAAATCAAGATGGTTTCTTTCTTTCTCTTTCCACCTTCCTTTTCTTCCAAGCAAAAGGTGTTGACAAAATGCCAGAGTAGAGTGAAAGGACTGTTCTTTGGAGATCTTAATGTTAAAAATTTGAAAAGATTTTAGTCTAAAAGTTCAGATACAACCATAAGTAGGTATAGGATTTGACAGGACACTGACAAAATGTAGTGAACATCTATTCTATCTTCCACTTCCCATCCGTACACCCTTCTTTGGTAACAACACTTCAGTTTTCCTCAGGAGGATCACCTCTCCCTGACTTTCATTCCAGGCAGGTTGAGTGGTATTGATATCACCCCAAGATCCAGGGCTGGGCATGTGACTCAAGCCTGGCCAACTAGAGAAGTTTCCCCCTGTGGCCACAGAGGTTGGTTCAGGGATGGACACAGAGTCCAATTCAAGCCAATGAGAGACTCAGAATTTTTATTTGAACTATCAGGGAAGAGAAGCTATCTTTTCAAAGGGGAATTAGCCTTTAAGGATGTCAGCCTGGCAATGCTGGCAGCCATCATGCATATCTTGATTTGTGGAGCGTGAGAATGAAGCCAATGTGATGGAAAGCAGAATAGATAGATGGAGAGAGACTGGTTCCTAATGACATCTTAGAGTTCCTGGACTTTTCAGTTATGTGATTCAGTAAATTCCTTTTAGATAGTTCCAGCACTGTATCAGGCTCTGAGGAGTCTGTCCTCAGAATCTCAAAACCTTGGTGGCTGTGCTAGGTATTTCGTTTGCCCCTCCAAATTCACTTTCTACCCTTTTCCACCCTGCTTTCTTCCTTGGGAGGCTGACCTGTATGGACCACATCGGTGGGCTTCCTTGCCCTCTGACTTTTGGTTGATTTTGGGCAATGGGAATGAAACAACTTTTAGTTTCATTCTCCTGTGGCCAAATCCCAGGAATTGGGAAAAAAAAAAGTGGGAGGGAGAAGAAGAAAAAAAGTCTTAAATTAATAGGCTGTCAGTTGTCGAGTTTTCCACCCACATGTCTGTCCAGTATTCCTATGGGAAAATCAGTGGTACAGTTTAGAAAGAGGAAATCATACACTCCTTTTTAATTTTAATTTATTGCTGTCAACAACTCCCCAAGACAATATTAATGTCTTCTATATGAAGATTCCCAGCAAACAGATGCCTAAGAAAGGTAACTTCAGGATAATAATTTCAGAGGGATAAGAAGTAAAAAATCCTAAGTCTAGCATGGACAAAATCATGAAGGCATTTGAAAGTAGTATTTCTCATTGACAATCAAGTAAAACCAAGTGCACTGCAACAGATGGTATACAAATCAAATCCTGGTACAGCACAGTTTGGGGGACTATTTAAATTAACCCATTAGAAGTTTATTGAATTGTTAGAATTCAATTTTAGTGAATATATTATAATATCCAGTTCTGTATAATAAAGCTGTTTTTAAATGTCCCAGCTGACATCCCCAACTGCCCTAGTACTATTCATTACTGCTTTGAAACTGTGGACACGATGGATTCCACTGAATGAGAAATACTGTATGACAAAAGATTCATAATTCCTTGTCTAATAGTCAACATATTTAACAGGATAATGTATTATGTATAATATATAGCACCAGTTGAATTCCTGTGAAATGTTAACTATTCTAACTCAAATTTGACATATGTTTTAAAATGTTTGGGATATCATTCATTGATTTTTAAAAAGATGGTACTTCCTGGTAAGCAGCAGCTCAGAGTAGAAAGAGCACTGGACCTGGAGTCAGATGCAACGCAGGTTGTTTTCACTAAACGCTCTAATATCCTTTCCAGATCTAATGTTCTATTACCTTTTACTACTAAATCTCGAGAGTTTGGTTATTTGAGGTAATTTTTAGGTGGCTTTAAAGTTGTTATCTTCAAGTTTGTTTCTTTTTAAAGGTTAGCTTTGAAAATGGAATTTGGTAAGGAAAGGCGTTGGGAGGAGACAGTTTCATTGTTTTTTGTATTTTCCACAAATCTGCTGTCGCATGTCTTTTAATCACTTGTTAATAGCAGTCAACCCCCCTTTACTCTGTCACTAAAAGTTGGAAAGGTGTCTGGGAAGGAGATTCCAACGAGCAGCAGCAGTCCTTTCTGCCATAAGCCAAGAGAGAAGCACTACCCGAGAGACTAGATTGCTGTGGTGTCTTTACATAAGTGGCTCAAATTCCCATGATTAAATAGCTTAGACTTTATTAAGAGAGTTCACTTCAGCGAAAGCTGCTTTTGTTCTCAGATTTCCTTCTTCCCAACCCCACTTACATTTACATCTCCACATCAATGTCTGACCAATAGAAATCAAAAGCCTAAAATGTCCAAAAGTGATCTCAACATCTTCCTCTCCAATCCTGCTTCACTCGTGTATTTCCAGTCTTAACAATATCACTATCCCACTGGGTGTAGCCAAGCTCAAAACCTTGGCGTCATTCTTGACTCCTTCTTCTCCCTCGTTGCCCATTCCCCAGTCTTGCCCTTCTCCAATCCACCCTTCACACTGTGGCTGCCAAAGTGCTCTTTCTAAAAAGTAAATATGATCACAGAGCTTCCCTGCATAAAATGCTTTCATGACTCCTTTTCACCTACTCGATAAAACTCAAAGTCTTCTTTCAGTACCTGTATACATTTCTAGCCCAATCCACTGCCGCTCCCTGCCATTGCTCTGAGCCCTTTACACTCCAGCTACATGAACTGCTCAGTTACCCAAACACACCATGGTCTTTCGTGATTGTGACTTTGCATGTGAAATTTCCTCTGCTACTTTCTCAGCTTACTTTTCTTCATGTTCCCATAGCATTTCCACATACTAGTATTATAACTCTTGTCACGCTATATTGTAGTTACTTCTTTACTTGTTTTTCTTCATTACCATACTGTCAGTTCCCTGTTTTGGGAGAAGGTAAACATTGTAGAGGAGATTCAGACTCTGGATACTTCTAGGTGGCATTTAACCCTGCTTTGGACCCTGAGACACTATGCTCTTCTCTGATGCTTTCTTTTTCTCCTTGTCCCAGCCCTCCCCCTGGTGGAGGTGTTAAGGAACAGTGGAATGGTCACATGGCCAAAGATAAGACAAAGCAGCCTGGCTGATCCACAACCTGGATAAACCTCTGCCTCTTATCATTTTTTAAGCAACTGCAAAGCTGGCTAATGGGCCTTGAGTTTAGGGTGGCCTGGCAGGAGCTTTCTGTCTTACCACGTATCAGTTGGGAGACCCTGATTTCAATCCCCAGCGCTGTAACGAGGTGTGGGCGGGGACGGTCAACACACCTATCCCTGATGGTCTCAAAGAACATCACACTACTGTCAAACAAAGAGCTCAAGAATTAGTTGGTGGAGATCTTCCTTGTTTTCCTCCTGTGTCTGAAGCTGAGACAAACCTTTCTGCAGGAACATTTGCCTTTGGATTACACCATAAAGCAAGGAATCTAATACCAGTCACGTCCACATGGTAGGTGTTCTCCCCAGTTGCAGTGGGCCTCACCTCCCAAAAAAAGTTATAGGGAAGGTCTATGTTCTGGTCTATCCCAGGACAATATCCAGTTATCACTGACTTCTGTCCCAGGTGAAGATAACCTAGTCTGTGAATCAGTATTTAGTTGCCCATGTGAGGCAGCCAGTTTCACAAGCACCCCTGGATGTAGAGTTCCCTAGGTATGGTGGCCCTAGGTGTATTCTGGATTGGTCTGGTTGGTGATTCTCAGGGAAGGACCTTGCCAGGCAGGTTAACAAAAATGGTTAGTTATCAGCCTGGTTGGGAGGAATCTTACCTCTAAAAACAACAAATTTTTAGAAAACATGATGAATTTGTAATCATTACGGAAATCCTCCTTCATGGCTATTGTGAATTTTATCAGATACTATGTTACACTACAATGAGACTTCTAGCAGCAAGAATGGGTTTTAGTTTTAAGTGGGAGAAAAGGAAATTAATATAAGCTATTTGTCATCAGGAGAGACTACCTTTAAAAATCAAATAGCTCCCACAATGCCATTTCGAACATATGTCAAAGGCAAGGAAAGATGATCTGCTGTCTCAGGTGTCCACTTGGCTGTCTCCCAATTGAAGAAAAAGAATTCAGGTGCTACCAGGGTAACATGAAATAAAACAGAAACAGAACTGGTGGGAGTGGCCCCCTGAAGTTCTTAGGTTTCTATGTTCAGAGTAAAGATTACCCTACCCACAAAACGATCATTGATGACATCATTTATGATGCCTTTGCCCTTCAGTTGGCACTGCACAGGCACCGCTTGGTTCTTCACTACATCTGTAAAGTGCATTGCCACCAGCGGGGAGGTGTAGTTAACCTGTAGGTGGAAGAACAATGAATTCTAAGTGTGAGGAGGGGAGGGTATGTAGGGGAGGGCAATAGGATGGAAGTGATCAGATAATCAGTGCAGGAGGATGGAACAACCTCCACAAAAGGAACTGAGTAAATCCCATGATGCCAAGCCACAAATGGCTAAAGCAACTGACATGCTCTCTCTGCCCTGGGACAGTGGAGAAATGACATATTTCTCTCATAAGTCAGTGTCAGTTGTCTGATTGTCCTCTGGGGAAAACCAATTCTAGCTCAGCGTGATATGATTTTCTAGATATCAGACCATGAATCAAACCAGAACTAGTATTTATCAAGTCTCCATGCTGGAGATGAAGTTTTCACTGCCCCAAGGCTCTAAGTGGGAGAAACAGGAAAGTGATTATTTGGGCATAATTTAGTGCAATGGCAAGTGATTTGTCTGCTCCTGGCTCTGCCACTAATTAGCTATGTGACCTTGGGCAAGTCACTTCCTCTCTCTGAACTCTAATCTCTCCATCTGTAAACTGAAGGAGTTAGGCCAGACCGTGTCTGAGATTCCTCCAGGTTTGGAAAGGAGCAGTTGGGATAGGAATTGGTAGAGGGAACTCCTAGTTTGGGCCAGCAGCTATTCACCCCTTTGCTACTACCTGCTGCTCCCTAATTCTCATAGATCCCAGCCAGCCCTTCCTTTGTCTCTGAGCCCTTTCTGACAGCAAAGACTGAAGGGAATACAGACTTACGTGAGTCAGTTTGCCATAGTAAGGGTAGTAACGGAGGTCAAAAGAAGCCGACTCTGGGTAGTAATTGATGGATCGGATGTCGTTTTCATCACCTCTCTGTAAGTAAAAGCAAGTACATATCAGGTGCTGGGTCACTCAGTGAGTTGGAGCCTGAGCTAAAGGGGCTTGTGTCCCAGGTGAAATCACTGTGTGACCCACAACTGTCTCAGGAAGACCACGAAAGCAGAATGGGGCATAGCTCAGCCCAGACTTATCCCCAGAGGAGTGTTTCCAGGGAGAGACTGTGCTTTGGCTTTTCAGTGCAAAGAACACTGAATAGAAGGCCCAGACCACGGAGGCTGAAGGTTCTCAGTATGGCTCTATGCTGGCTCCTAGGGGACCCAGGCAGAAGGGCTCCAAAGGGCTTGCAGTACCCAGTGTTGCTCTGGCAAGAGGGCCTACCATGCCAGCACCTCTCCAAAGAATCACACTGGTCCTGGTACCCAGTCTTGGACTTTGGAGCTGAGGCAGGTGTAAGTTGGAACATGCCTAGTAAATCCCACTCCACAACAACGTGCACACGGTGTGCTCGTTTCTGGTTGAGGTCAGACCCAGTGCACAGGGACCTGATGCATAGGGACACAGCCTGTAGTTGGCTCACCTAAATGCACGTCTCTTACCACATTCTCTGAGGTGCTTAATTACAGGAGGTGGGGTCAGGAGGATAAGCAAGGGGGGAAATGATTAAATAAACAAGTCTACCCTCATCATATCATGTCAGGTAGGGGACTGCCCATTCTGCCTATGCGTTAGGCTTGCCCTAAATAGCAGAGGTCTAGAGGTTACTAGGGGGCAAATAGTGCATCACTACTAGCAAATCACTCACTCGGGTCATGTGATTACTTCTATCGATGTAGTATAATGGCTCTTAGTATAAACCGAGCTCTCCTTAATTTATTCTAATAATTACCTCATCATGCTTGATTTCCACAAGTGGGTGTGGATTTGACCAGTGTTGATTATTATACAATGTATAATGACTCAGTGTTTCTTTTTTTTTTTTTAAAGGACAGTTCTCAGCAAGGTTCCCCATAAGCTGAAAAATGAATGGCTTCCACTAGGGAACTATAAGCAGGACTCAATCCAATTAATATGCTGGTTTAAGACTGAGTTCGTCTTTATGGTTTATTTATATATTCTTGTGAAAAGTAATGAAATTCGTTGTTTTGTGAATGGTGTGTGTAATCAGTTCCACCAGTTTGCAGTCACACCTCACATGTGTATGTTTGTACATGCTCACATATATGTGGCCAGAATGAATGTCCTTCCTCCCTTGTTCACCTAGCAAGCACTGCCTGACCTTTCAGAGCTCAACTTCAGTGTCACCACCTCTCATGTGGAACTAACCTTTCCCTCTTTAATGTCCTGACTGCACCTTTTTTTTTTTTTTTTTCCGGTACGCGGGCCTCTCACTGCTGCGGCCTCTCCCGTTGCGGAGCACAGACTCCGGACACGCAGGCTCAGCGGCCATGGCTCACGGGCCCAGCCGCTCCGCGGCATGTGGGATCTTCCCGGACCGGGGCACGAACCTGTGTCCCCTGCATCGGCAGGCGGACTCTCAACCACTGCGCCACCAGGGAAGCCCCACACTGCACCTTTCATAGCACCTGTATTACTTGATGGCCCTGATTTCAGAGACGGAATCATATTTATCTTGGCACCCCCAACACCTAGCAAAGTACCTGGTACTTAATAAGTGATCCATAAATTCTTGCTGAATGTGAACTATTGACTGAATAAATGCTGCCTTTTGCTGCTTTCTGATCTGCCACGATCGAGACTGGAGTTTTGAGCAGCATTTCTGGTACTGAGAATGGGGTTACCCGGCTTCACACATTTGCAAGACAACCGTCCAGGACTGGGGGTGTAGTAGGTGTTACCAAACAGGAGGGAGCTACTGCCAACTTTAAGAAGCAAACCCCAGCAAACCCAAGATCTTTGTAGGCTTTTTCCTACAAAGAAGCTAATTGGCACAGATGAGATAGGAGTTAATGGTCCCTTGAAGGACAGTTAATTAGCATATTAATTGAGTTCTGTTTATACTTCCCTTGTAGTCATTTGTTATTGCAACACCCAGTGCCACTGGTCATTGCTGCAAAAAGTGAAATCAGTTTTATTTATTTATTTAGTTTTGTATTGCTATATATGTTATATTGTAAAATATGTCAAAGAGTATGGAGGCTACACACACACACACACACACACGCGCACACACACGCGCGCACACACACACACGATTTAAAGAAGAAGAAGAAAATTGACCCCTGAAGACCTCCACCCAAGTTAAGAAACAGATCAGAGCCTGTCTTTCCACAAACACTACCTCACTTTTGTGATATCATTCCCTTGCTTTTCTTTTGTGAAATCAGTTTTAAAAGCAGGGACTAATGACTCTAATGAAAGCTGCTTGTTTAGTTCAAAGAAACAAGTAATTAGAGCAAAAGTGTAAACAGAATTTCCGTTAATGACTTGGCACATTGTTGTTTCCTGCTGTGGCTCTTAGCTGAGGTTCAGTCTTTGGCTTTCACAGGTATAAATCAGCACACACACACACAAACACTACACACACGAATACACATGAATGGAATGCTTTCTGGAAACAGGGAGGCCTGAAGGTATAAATGGAGGTGTAGTTATGAAAAGATTAACCCTTTCCCTAACCCTTAGGCAACCATCCATGGTAAAGCCCTTGGAAGGGATGACCCACCCTTTTGCATGAAACAGATGTGCTAACAGTACTTACTCAAAAGGGCACTTTACCTGAACTTTGCAGGAAACCTTCACAGGGTCTCCAGGCTCAGGACGAAAGCCAACAATCTAGCAAAAGAAAACCAGCGTTTTTTTAAAAAACAAAAACCAAAACAGATTTGACAGTAAAAATATGGCTTTTCTAAATCCCCCTTGAGTTGTCCTTTCTTTAGGCATAAACATGATCTATTTTGCCCTCTCAGAAATGTTACAGAAAGCAGAAAATGCAAAGTATCTTCTGAGCTGCTCAGCTCAGCTTACTTCTTATTTTATTTGTGCCTGATATTCATACAATGGTAACTGCAGCAGGATTACCCTGAAAATGTAAAGAACGTACTGGGTCAAGAGGAGTGTGCCTGGTAAGGCTCTGCCACACCTGAGGCATGGCAGGAGAGAAGGAAAATGCATTTCTTGTGATATAGGAATTGTCCCAGGCTTCCCTGGTGGCGCAGTGGTTGAGAGTCCGCCTGCCGATGCAGGGGACATGGGTTCGTGCCCCAGTCCAGGAAGATCCCACATGCCGCGGAGCGGCTGGGCCCGTGAGCCATGGCCGCTGAGCCTGCGCGTCCGGAGCCTGTGCTCCGCAACGGGAGAGGCCACAACAGTGAGAGGCCCGCGTACCGCAAAAAAAAATTTTTTTAAATAATAAAATAAATAAAAAAATAAGAATTGTCCCCCATGCCACCCCCATGTCAGTCCCCTGTTCCAAACAGCTCAAGATCTCATTCCTGACAGAGCATCAAAGGTTTAGGGGTGCTGGAGAAGAATCAAAATAGAAAGTGTTCAGGGAGAAAAGGAATTATTGCTTGGTAGGTTTGTCTGGTTGTTTGTATTAGTGACGCTCTTGGTAAAAATGGCCACACTTACAGTGTATGAAGACAGAGCCCAAGAGAAATGTAGCGGCCAGAGCCCTCCTACCCAACTCATCCACTTATCATAGACAGAGTGACAAGGGCCAATATACCCGGTTCATCTTTAGAAGGATGCAGGGCTGTCCAGTAGAGTAGCCAAAAGTAGGGTCCTCCAGGCCAGAGCAGTTCTTCAGGAAGGAGCGCTTAAATTGGCAGGCCTTCTTGTCCTCATCCTCATCACCATCTTGGATGAAGTATTGGCCCGGGGGGCAATCTACGTTCATTTCCTCTTGAAGACTGTCGTTATAACCTAAAGTGTGGGCGGCAAAGGGTCGTGTTAGATAGGTACTACAGAGGAAGGCCATGTTTTCAGTAGTTCTCTTCCCTAGTTTCCTTTCTCCAGGAACTTGCTTGTGCTCCTCTGAAAGCCCACTCAGTTTGTCCTAGGGCCTGTGACGTGGCATCAGGTGCCCAAGGCCCTTCATCAGCAACATCCCTCCAAGAAGCCTTCTGGGCTGGTCCCCTCAGCCCACTTTGATTGCTTGTCCCCTTGCTTTTCATTCCCTTGAACTTCTTCGATATCTGTCTCTGGATTGTGTGTTTATCGCTTTATAACTTTTCTCTATTTTTCATTATTTCTTTTCTGATACGGTAAATTGTAAACTTGGAGGGCTGCCTTTCCTACTTCTGGGAGAGGAATAGGCAAAGTAGTAGATGGATTTTGGAAGAAGGATTGAATCATATCGAGGCATGGCATATATAAGGAGGCAAAGCCCCTGGGTTAAATATCTTTAAGTTCAGCTTAGGGAAACATCTCTCTGAGGTCAATGAGAGGCACCCGATGCAAGACAGTGAAGAGTGTGTGTTGTGGGACAGGAGGAAGGGGGAGGACAAAGAGGAGGAGATAAACCAGCTCCTCATTCTTTACAGAGGGAAGTTAGCACTGCAAAATAGAAGCTTAGGTTGAAAGACAGAAAACAATGACAACCATAGGGTCTCCACTGAGAGGGTGAGGGGGTGAGATCTTGTCTACTGAGACCTGAGGCACTCAGAGTTAGTGTCCCTTTACACTGGATGGAATTTAACATGTGCCCAAGGTACATATATCAGGGAGAGAGCTGAAAAGGGCTATCTGTGAGCTGACTCTTTGGGCTACTAGATGCCAGAGAACTGGGCTTTAGAAATTACTGCATTATTTCCAGTTTGGTTCTAAATGATGGAATCCAGTTAGTCCTGTTAGATCCAGCCCCCATGCATTCATGTTCCAAGTAGCTCAGTTTTTTAGAGGAGATTGTGCACCTACAAACCACCAGCGTTGAAACTCCAAACGTAACTGGGAATTTTAAATCTATTCTAATTATGGCTAAGCCTTTATTTGTCCTTTGACAAAGCTACATTCAATTCAAGGTTTTGTTTTAATCTCTCTCTCTCTTTTTTTTAGAGTAAACTATGTTCAAATAACAACTTTCTAAATAGAAGCTCTAATCATGTGCTCCTTGTTTCTCTTGAGGTAGTTCCATTAAAAATACTGTGACATGGACATGACCCTTATTGCAAAATCCCTGTCCTCATGGGAATGAAATTGATACTCTGGGATGTCTATTTCAGAGATGTGTTCCTTTTTAACAGGGCATATTATCTACACTTAGGAAGTAAAAAACCCAATGCTTTTCCTAATGTTCCCCACCTGTGTCATCAGGTCAGAATTGATATTTCTGAATCTACTACCTTCTCAGAGGAATTTCCTCAGCAGAGATTCTGGCAGTACATTTGCAATAGCTCACAAACATTTTGAAAGAAAAGAAGATATTGTGCTGCCTATGATGCCCAAAACATTTTGGGGAGCCAAAAGTGGAACTACATGGATTCAAAAAGAACCCAGCCCCTCTAATTTTACAGGTGAGGAATCTGAAGCTCAGACTTAAGCAAGATGACACTGAGCATTACCAATACAAAGCTGAGTTTCTAACTCCTGGTCATATGGCAGCAACAAAGAATTATGAAAAGCAGAACTTCTTGAGCTTTAATGGACATACAGATCACCTGCAGATCCCCATTCAGCAGGTCTGGGTGGAGCCTGAGATTCTGCCTTTCCAACAAACTCCCAAGTGATGCTGATGCTGCTGGTACCTGGGTCACACTTTGAGTAGCAAGGGTGTCGAGAACAGAAACAAGGGTTTAAATTTAAACACTACTGCTACTGGGAGACTTTGATCACATTTCTTCTCCTTTCTGAGCCATAGTTCCCCCAATGGGGATGATAGACTCTGCTATGCAGGGTTAAAGTTCAGTGACAACATTTACACATTTAAATAACACTTCCTATCACATAAGAGAATCCTCTTAATTCAGTGCACATTCTGTTGGCCACCCCCATCACCCCACTTCAGCCAGGCCAGGGAAACCAAACCTGGCTTTTTTTCCACAAATAATAGGTGCAGTAAACCCATGGGGGCTCCTCTTTGATAGCTGGATAAATACAGAGACTGTGTGCTCTGTGTTTAACCTTAACCAAGCTGCTACCTCAGTTTTCACCCTGTGTAAGGGCTTCTCAGAAAGCCATTCATTCAACCCTGAAAATGTATCTGATGACGCTATAGAAAACACTTGCTATCAAAATGTTGGAGTGAGTGCCACCCAGAGATTCTTCCTCTAACTCCCTTTTGGACTGCTATTTAAATGAAGACACTTTTTCTCCTCCTTTATGATGGATCATCTCCAAGAAATGAATTCTCTTACCTTGAGAAAACATAGGAGGCAAGAATCTTCCTGTTCTGGAGAACACTCTTCTTTTCTCACCACTACCTCCCCCCGAATTATCTTTTTTTTTTTTTTTTTGGGTATGCGGGCCTCTCACTGCTGTGGCCTCTCCCACTGTGGAGCACAGGCTCCGGACGCGCAGGCCAGTGGCCATGGCCCGCGGGCCCAGCAGCTCCGCAGCATGTGGGATCCTCCCGGACCGGGGCACGAACCCCCGTCCCCTGCATCGGCAGGTGGACTCCCAACCACTGCGCCACCAGGGAAGCCCCCGAATTATCTTTTATAATTGATCATTATTGAGCCATCTGGATGTGCCCAGGACATAACTAGGTGCTATAGGGTGTTCAGGAAGAGAAAACAAATTCTCTGCCCCAATGAACTTATCATCTTACTGGCTTATATGCTTTCAAGGCAACATACAATCACAAACCACAGCAGTTTTGATTGTATCTGCAGGTGCTGAGGGGGATGCATGGTAAGGAAAAACCAGAATGGGCAGTGCTAGTAAGACTGGGATTTCTGAGCCAAGTGAATTTTGAATTTTGAGTTCCCACCCATCACCTTTCCAAAGAGATTCTCACCATTCAGAGGAACTTACCCTGGAGAAAGCCATTTAGACTAATCACATAATGCTGCCAAGTGTCAGGTTCAGAAACGTTGAAGTTGAAGTTAAGGCTATGGGCGAAGGGTCTGATCATAACTCCTGGCAATGAAAACAGGTCTTGGATATATTAACCCATTCTTGGGATAATTTTTTTGTATCGATTCCCATGAAACCATTTCCCCCCAGGCAATCAAAATGAAAAGGACCATAATTTGCTAAGTACCATTTTACTTTTACTCTTAATAATTGAATCCCTAAGTCATTACCGGGAAGAGCCAAAGTTAATTGAAGCTGAACATGCTGTGCAAGCAGATTTCTGTCCAGCAAGTTCTGAGAGCACAGGGTATTTGGGCACTCACCAGGAGGCTTCACCCTCTCAGTGAAGGTCGGCATGTAAGGACTGATGGTCAGAAATAGCGTGTACATGCAGAGGGTGATCACAGCGGCCAGGGAAGCATAGAAGAAGAAGTAAATGACTAAGATCAGGCCTGCAGAACAATCACAGATGAGGGTGGTCAGTGCTGGCCAACAAGCCCTGCCTCTGCATTTGAACTCATGAACCAGAACCAACCCAAACACGTGACATGGCTTTTTGTTTAATTCCCCAGATTCAGTATGTCCTTGCTTATTCAGGTTTCACCAATTTGAAATTGGTGAGAATTGCGTCAGAGGTCTGATTGCAGTTTACCTTTACAGCATCTCCGATGGAAGGGCTTGCTGAGCAAATGATGACCGTGAACGAGATTACAGGGGCGTGGAGTTTAAAGTACTGCAGAGGGCAAATTGCTTGGGAGTCCTCTGGGCAATGGTTGATGTCCTAAGTACAAATCATTCTTCGCTATTCATTAAAGTAGGTGCCCTAAAGAGTCCTAGCAGCTTGGTTCCAGTGATTATATGTATTTGCAAGTGATGAAAACAGCATTTCTTTTCACATAGCCTATAATTCAAACCTTTGATTCGTTTCCACTGGGTGTGCCTCTAATGAAGGCAAAGTGAGGTTTCACTTTACGTATTTCAAATCTTCTTTATCTTTGGCAAAACTCTAAGTGACTCTGCTTTTCAAAAAGAACACTAACGCAGGATGGGGAAGGGAAGAGGGGCAAACTGTACTTAATTACTGACACCTGCTACCTGTGAACTCAGCCTGTGAGCTATAAGTTATAGAACCTCCTGGCACCCCCGACTCCTCACAGGTAAAATGGGGATAAGTTCAGCACTTACCTCATATTCTGATCAATATCCCTAACACTATTTGAAATTCAGCCTTTCCTTACATCCTGTTCTGACTCTACCACTTCCTAACTGTTTAATCTTAGACATGGTATTTACCTCTCTGGGCCTCAATTTCCTCATCTGTAAGATGAGGATAATAATAGTACTTACTTCTTAACATTGAATAATGCATATAAATAGCACAGCACAGAGCCTGGCATATACTAAGTGCTCTGTAAGTGGCAGTCTTCATCATTGTTATTATTAATATTATTATTGCCATAGGACCAGAAGCACAGTTGCGTGAATTCTTCCTCTGTGGGCTGGATTAGCACTAGGTTTGCCCCAGGATTAGGCAGCACAGAATGAGTGAATGAGCATGAGATTGCTGCTGAGAAGCTCTTTCAAGTCCTCCTTGGGGCTCTCTCAGAAAATAACATCTAGCTCCACTCACAGCAGTGACATGATGTCGGAGCTACAGATTTGAACTGAATCATGAACCAGAAACTGGAACAAACCACATAACTTTGCTGTACCCCAAACCAAATCCAAATATTAATTTTTTATAAGTAGATATTCATTTTAATTATTATTTATTTATTAAATATTAAATTTTAAGTTGAACCATGAACCAAATAAAATGAACCAAAAAAAATAGAAAAAAAGGAGTAGGGAGAAGGAGAAAAAAATTCTTACTAATCTAACTAGAAGTGAACCTTTATGTTTTATAAGATGAACTAAAGCAGAACTGGAATATGAACACATTGATTCAGTTGGAGTCCCTGGAGAAGAAACAGCAGCACCTCGTGTGCTTGTGATACTTGGCTGCTGCCCGCCTGCTGTCCTGATGGGATGTGCCTTGTGACTCCTCCTCCAACCCTCTACCCCCATCCCCATCCTGGGAACCGATCAACAGCTGGAGCCATCCTGGGGGACCAGAAGGCTCAGTTTCATGGATGAGAGGAAAGCAATAGAATACAGGTACATTCCCCTGGAGATATCTTCCTTCTTGCCCAGGATGTGTGGCCAGGAAGCTGTAGATGGGAGAAGGGCACTAGCAAGGAGTCCCCTCAGCTTTGCCCAGGAGTCTGTGCCCTGAGTCTGTGATAGGCTAACTGTCTCAGCTACACCACCCCTTGCCCCCGGCAAAACCAAGCACTGTACCCACCTGAACCCATTGATCCCTCCAACCCTTTCTGCTCCAAATGTCCAAGTTTTACTTGGGCTGCTCCTCTAGGTAATCCAGGGTTTTCTCCTGAATGTCCCACCCAAGCTTGGATAGACCATTATATCTTGAATAGAGTAGGCACCCACGATCCCAACTCTTCAGTCCTTCCACTAAAACACCCCATCAGGTCCTAAGGCCCTATCCATCAGGGCCTTGCTCATTGCTAGAGTTCATGAAGACAGCATGATGTTCTGGCAAGAGAATGAACTCCAGTGTTCATCCAAGCTGGGTTTGAATCCCAGTACTGCCACTTTATTAACTGTGTGACTTTAGATAAGTTACTTACCCTCTCTAAGCCTCAGTTTCTGCATCTGTAAAATGGGGATAATAATATTACTACCTCATACAGTTCTTGTCAGTACCCAATAAAATAACATAAAGCTCCTAAGAATAGAAGTTGCCCAGCTATCAGAGGAAAAGCCCAGAATATAATAATAGGCTGGGTGAATATGTTGGTCATTTTGATGTCCAGGCTGGGACAGTGTTAGTAAGTGCTTAAGTGGCACCTAGTTCTCAGGCAGGAGGGCAGCAAGGCATGTGGCGGCCTAGGCATTAGCATCACTATTTGCCCTTTGCCCAGGGGTAGCCCGGGCTCTCCTTAGACCCGCTACCCCGAGGCCTGGATACGGCCTACCGTGCAGTGTCCCCACTGCCATATCTTCCCTGGGCACTTGAACCTTCCTCCCTCATCCCCACTTGTTGGCCTATGGATTGTTCTCCGCAGGCGCAGTTGGAATCAGCTCATCTGGTTAAGTTCCAATGGCTGGCTGTTTAAGGGTTAACGTAGGGCTCCCTCTCCCAGAATCACACTTGCATTTCACAAGGCCTGTTTTTCCAGTCCTCTTTAGGCAAGGGAGAAACAGCTGTGCCCCCTTTTGGAGCCCCAGTGAGTGTCCAGCATTTGTCTGCAGCTTCCAGAACGTCGGAATGTTCCTTGAATGGTACATTTGTTCCAGTTGAGAGTTCGAGGGATGGGCAGGGGTGGGGCTGGGAACTGAAGAGGGGTGAAGGGAGATGGGTGTTGTTCAGAGCCCCACACCTGCTATTGCTAATTCCAGGCAGCAGGGCTGGCTGTTTCACCCTGACTGAGCTGAATTAGAAACATAAACTACAAAGGAGGGAATTCTCAGCCAAAGGGGCCTTTAGAAGGCATGACCACTGACTTTAGCAACCTAGACCCTTGGCACTGGGGGACTCTTATTTTATCCATAGAGTTATCTATTGTTTTCTTCTGTGGGTTAACTGAATTCAAACCAGCGGCTGCTCTTTTCCTGGGATGTTCAGAGACTATGGCGAGTGTGAATTTTACCACAAGCTAAATCTCCTGATAAGGATCAGCATTAATAGTTCAAGAGGTGAGTAGGACCCTGGGAGAGGCGTGCTGGGGAAGCTGTGAAGTAAAGGTGGTGGCAGCATGTGGTACAAAGAGGAAATGCTGGGGACCGCAATTCTGCCATTGATCAAGCAATATGGGGACTCAGCCTTAAATTGCTAGAAATGATCCCTTTAACCCATTTCTCTCTATACACCATGGGATCGATCGCAAAGCACATGCAAGCTGGGGCCAGGGGCAGCCGTGGCTCTCCTTCACTGATATTACGAGGTGAAATGATGAGGCTGTACAAACCCTTGGTCAGGTTAGCAGGGTCTTGGGTCTCGTATCTTAGGAATAGTCTTCTGCATAGTACTTTGTACTTTACAATTTTAACATCTTATTGGAGCCTCAGGCTGATCCTGTGAGAGAGGTAAGGCAGATACTCTTTCCTTCATTAAGCAGGTGAGGAAACTGAGGCTCAGAGAAAATAAACGATGAGCCCAAAGTTACAGATAGAAAGTGACAGGGCTGGAGCTTCAAAGAAATCTGCACTTTTTCAGCTCATTCTTACTGTCTCTCTGCACTGCAAATGCTGTTGAGCCCAGTGTATTTCAGCTATACAATCAAGTTTGTTCACCCACTTGGGAGTTTGTTCTCATGAGATCTGCCCATTAATTTCCCTAGGCAGTGATCCTGTTACATGAAGTGCTAGAGAACTTTGCAGACAAGCCCATCCAACGTATGGTAAAGGAGTCCTGGACACCAAGCCAAAAGCAAAGGACACCCGACTGGGGCATTGGGACAACTGGGACTTACTCCAACTCTGACCTGTTCGGGCCAGAGACATCCTTTTCTCCGGATCCGACAGGTATTCGTTCACGATCTGCCATTTCCGCCACCAGGCACTGCCTGTTTCCTGAGCCTGACTCTCTTCCTCTTCCTTTTCCTCTTCTTCTTTCCCCTCCTCTTCTTCCTCCTCCTCCTCCTCCAAATCAGGTACCACCATCACCCGAGCCTCTTCTTCTGCTTCTTCCTCTTCATCTGCTAAGTAGTTCTGATTCACTTCATCCTGATCATCCTAAAACAGTGACAAAACACAATCCCCTTTTTGGAGAAGAAGATTTCCAATGGCACATCCCACCAGCCAAAATAAATGGAAAACGACTCAATATTTGGAGATGCTTCAGATGTCCACTTACCCATAAACATACCTGTTGTTACAAGAGGCAGATTTCTTTCTCTCTGTTCTTTTGAAGGAAATATCCTTTCTATGACCCATTTTGACCCAATATTCTTTCCATAGAGGTGCAAGTTTTATTATCGGCTTCAGGCACTTGGGCTGTTCCCCTAGGACTGCTCATGTCATTACTCTGTCCTGGGGCCTTTGCTTCCCGCTTAACTTTGTCTGGCCTGTCAGGGCAGAGCTGAGCTCAACACTGGAGGATGGAGTAGTTTTAGACACTCGTGTCCGTGATGGCAAATTCTCAGTCCAAGCCAGCTTTGTCCTAACACCCTGTACACTTTCAGCTGCTCAACCTCACCATCCTAACTTGTGGCTAAAAATAGCCTGGGACAGACATCAGGAGGAGAGGCCAGCTGCCGTACCCCTCCTCAAAACTTAGACTGCCTTCCCAACAGAAAACAAGAGATGGGGGCGTTACTTGCTGCTTCTCTGACTGTTGCCCACACTGGAACCTCCTCCTGCCTTAAGCAGGTTGGACAGACCACCTGAGGGCTGGCACGGCAACTGATACGTCATCTTCCCCCCACCAACCCCATACCCTAGGCAGAAGTCTGGGCACGCAGTAAATGCTCAGCACATATTTGTTGATTGACTGATTGCAGCCATTACTTGAGATCTGAAACTGTAATCTTCTCCGAGTGGTTCTAAGAAAATTAAACAAACAAACAAAAAAACAACAAAAAAAAGAAAAACCCAGACTTCACCAAATGGTATTTCCAATGCCTCCCAGCCACGGGCTGGAGGGTTGGATCTTTGCTCTTTGTGGGTCTGAGGCCACCGTCCCTTCTCTCTGCTGTCCAAATCTGAAGAGTGGCGGAGCCTGTGCACCTGTTGGGGTTGGATGTGTCAAATGATAGAGGCCAGGGGCTCTGTGCTGCACCCTCCCTGCCTGATTCCTCAAAGGCCATTTAGAGGACACTCAGCTAAAAGGGCTGCCATGGCCGGGGGGGAGGGTCAGAAAACTGGATTGTTCAGAATCAGTAAAAGTGATACAGCGTGACGAGGCTGTACTCTCAGCATTCAGTCTGCCCGGCGCTATCTAGCTCTTGATTATAAGCACTCTTGAATTGCTCTCTAGTTTGTTCAAATGTACAGCTTTATGTCATGCGCCATATCAGCACTGACAGGGACCTTGAAGATTCACTTCTCCACGTGAGGCCCAGAGAGGGGACAGGATCTAGCCAAAATCACTCAGCAAGGTCATGATAGAGCTGACAGTCTCAGAACCATGCTTCCTGATACCCTGGACAATGTGATGCTTCTCACAGTGAGCACAAGTGCCTAGAGGCGGTTTAGCAGAGGTGGTTTATGGAGCACGACGATGTGTTAGATTCTGTGTTCCCAAGAGACTGGAGGTGCTTATAGTCAAAGATTTCTAACTCTGACAAGGACTCATAGAGTAAGGCTTAGGAAAATAAACCTCATCACTCAATGTTGAATGGATTAATAAATGTTCTTAAATCTCTTTCCCTTGTGTTTGAACATATGTACCCATTTGACCTCCAGAATGACATTCTGAGCACCCGGGGGCAGGGTCCATATTTTCTAACTCCTTGATGGCTCTCCACAGTGTGGAGCCCGCAGCTAGGTAACCAGCAGGTACTGAACAAACGTCAGTGATAACTGCCTGACTGAAAACTCCTGAACCAGAGCTCTGGGGGAATGCTCTCACAGAGCTTGCTGCTCCGGCCTCAGCACTCATTTGGACTGTAGTGGGTAGTCATCATGGCCCCCAGAGAATCTAATGCAACTGAGAATCTCAGAGAATTTGAAGTATAACATTTCAACGTGGAGACATTTATATTCCCTTTATATTTTCTGGAAAACTTCCTTTTCTCTCCTTGTTGCCTGTTTGCCTGCCCTCCACCAAGGAGGCAGCTGGCTTTGGCCTCAGCCTGATCTTATTTGTAGATATGAGCTCTCACGATAATCCCATTAAAGATGGCTTGTCATTAAAGCTTTACCCTCCCGGGAAGAATTAACCTTCTCAGAGCTAATTTCCCCACGGCTCTCACACTGCCTGAGCTTCAGGAACCACAAATATCTTTTCCCCTCTCCCCTGCTTCCAGGTATAGGAGAACCTCACATTGTACAAGAGAGGCACTTTTGTGCAACTAACTATTTAACGGAATCCAGTAGGGAATCCTTTGGTAATGAGAGGGTCTGTTTTTGTCAGTTTCCTAAAGTGGCACTGCCCTCATGTGATAGTGTATGTGAGTGTGCTGGGGCCATCGTGTTGCCCTAAAAGGAAAGAGTCTGAAGGGCAGAAGGTGGCTCCATTTTGAGCACTCTAAATATATAAACATATAAACAAATATATAAACAAACAGTATGACCCGAAAGGTAAATTTGTGCCCTGCATTGAGTAACACCCTGTAAACATTCGAACAGTTGGTTAATTGTCAAAGAGACATTAGCACCCGATTATTCACTGCATCAAATAATTTCTTTTTAAATTTGATCAAGTAGCCCCTATAAAGAGCAAGATCCCCTGATGCATTTAAAATCCAAACCAGTTGACAAATAATTGAAATTATACACAACGCTTTAGCAGCATTATAGAGAAAAGATGCGAAGTAAGGAATAGTTATGTATGCCCTACAGACTGTGACTGCTCTGAGACCTGGTAGGGACTTTGGGGATGTCAAAAGAGAGACTCTACAAACTGTGGCTGGAAAGTTACGAGAAGCCCTCCGCAGGTTGATACGGGGTTGGAGGAATTCGTGTCTGCCTCTGCTGGCTGTTGACAGTCTCCACTTAGCTCCCTGGTTATATAAGTGGACATTCCCCCCAAAAAATGGATTAAGCTTTGTTTCTTCCTGGGGCCCAGATCACAACCCTCTCTGGGGGAGATTTCAGAATATACCTCCCCGCAAAGAAAACTACTGCATGCGGCATATATTCATGATTTCTAGCAAAGTAAACGCAAAGAAACTTTGGGTTCAAAAAAATTTCTAATGCACCCTGGAGATAAATGGTGACATTGAAGTTGGGGTGCGTGAGTGTTGGGCAGGGCAGGGTGGCAGGCAGGGAGGCAATGGGTGGTGGAGAATCAGAGGGCTAGGGAGTGTGGCATGCTGCAAATATGATGGAAAGAGCACAGGATCAGAAGTCAGGAAACTTACATTCTCACTTTGGCTCTTCCAGTAACTTGCAAGTCACTCCTGTGCTCTGAGCCCCAGCAGCCTCCTTTACATAATGAGGGGTTCTGGAGAGATGATGTCTAGGACTGCTCCCAACTTCTATCTAGGATTCCATGCTTTTAGCCATCGTTTGGAATTTCTGCTTTAGAAAAGAGCAGCTGGGTTCCTAAGAAGCTACCACCCAAAGCGACTGAGACAGCTGGGTAGGCAGCGCCTTTCATTTCCTCTTCCCCTTCCCTTCTCTCTTGGCTAAATTTCTTGCTCTCGGAATGAAACCTCTATTCCCAGACTCCAAAAGGTCTGTTCAAATTCTAGACTCCCACGAAAAAATTTTAGAAGTCCCCCTTATTCTCTGGCATCTTCCCCTTCCCTTATGTTTGTTGCACAGGAAGAGGGGCTTCCTCTTTCAATCCAGCAATTTAGGGTGCAGTGGGGTACTGGGAGTCACTGCTCGAGCTTGAAACAATGGGCTTCCTTAAACTTCACTGTTCCTGCCCATCTTAAGGAGAAGCAGCCCTAAGCCACCACCTACACATCCCCCAACCCACCCCAGTAAAAAGGGACAGCAAAATATTCTGCTCCCTGGGACTCACAAGTCTGTAGCGATAACCGTATGGAAAGGCCGGAGCCCTTCTGGACCGGAGCTGCCTTCTCATGGCTGTTCAGTGGGCAGAGACGCGGCAGAGGCAGGCAAGTGGCTGAGAGCTCTGGAGCTTCTGCTGGTACAGGAGACACTGGTTGCTGGGGATACTTGGCGCCTAGTAAAAGTGAACCCTCCTGGCATGAGCCCTTCCCCAAAATAATCTAACATGCCCCTCTCTCATTGGTTGGCCCCTTCCCTGAATCAAAGGAAAGCCCTTATGGAAAAGCAAGCTCATCATTACAGGGAGGGGGAGATATTCTGGGTCACGAGGATGAGCGGCTCACCCCCCCGCCCCGAACTTCATGTCTCTTCTCACTCCCTGCTCTTCTGTAGCGCCTGAGCTACTATGGGCCCAATGGAAATCTTAAGTTGTGTTCTTCTCAACTGAGAGTTGGATATCAGTGTGTGCAGGGGGTGGGGCGTGGGTGGGAGTTGGGGGTGAGGGGAGTTGGCCAAGAATAACTTTCTTTTTTCATAAGGCTGATCTCATGCAAAAGGATCTAGGGTGTCAGGAAAGATTCCCTTTGCTCTCCCCACCTCCCCCCACACACACACCAAGCCACCTATGATATTCCTTATTTGTGTCAATCCACCAGCCCCTTAAAGGTGGATTATGCGTTCTGATTTTAGAGGCCAGGCTTCTGCTTTGCCCCTCCCTGCCCAAAGAGGATCTTGGACATAAGAAGCCTTTTTCTAGCCTACATGTCAGAATGACCCCATCAGCACTACCCCTCACACACACACCCCTTGGAATCCTGGCCAAATTTCTGTAGTGGTTGAGCTCTATATTTATCCCTTAGCATCAGGGCAGGGAACAAGCCAGAACTTTGCAGTGTCAGTTTCCCAGACATATATAACTCCTGAAGCCAATGTGGGATCCAACAAAAGAAAAATTAGTAAAAACAGCCAAGAACATTGTATAGCATTTTTGGTTTGTTTGGTTCACCCCACTGGAGCCTGGGTGGCCAAAAGGCCTAAGAGGAATGTGAGATCCTTCACAAATCCCCTCCCCCCCATTACACCCAGGTGACTGAGAATGTTGCAGGTACTGAGATTCTGGGCACATTCATAACCAAGAAAGCCAACCCAACCTCTTAGATAGACAGATTTATTCATAATGCCAAGCCTAGACTATTCTGATGAAGACAGCTTCAATAGTGGTTAATTTTAAATATAGACTCCATTTATTAGAACATTATTACTCAGGATTCTTTCTTATGGAGTCTCCCCCGATACCCTCATTTGAAGAGAAAGAGAACACTGACAAAGAAAAGAGAAACTCATTCCTCTTTTTGGATTTTAATAAAAGCAAAATGTATTCCAGGGGATAACCTGGTCTCAGTAGACATTGAGCTTTATCTTTACACTTTCTCCACTTGAGATTTGAGATTTTTGTGTGATTCCTGATGTTAAGTATATGAGAAACCTGAAGCCCTTGGGAGCCTCAAAAACCAAACAGAGGATAGGTAAATTGGTCTTGTCTTACTAAGGCAGAAAAGACAGTACAGTCATGTTAGCAAGATCTAAAAAACTAGGAGTAGGGGGTAACATTATTCACAATAGCCAAGATACGGGTACGTGTCCTGTCAAGAGATGAATGGACGAGGAAGGTGTGGTATATATGCATACAACGGAATATTATTCAGCCATGAGAAGGAAGGAAATCCTGCCATTAATGACAACATAGATGGACCCTGAGGGCATTGTGCTAAGTGAAATAAGTCAGATGGAGAAAGACAAATACTGTATGATCTCATTTATATGTGGAATCTAAAAAAGCCAAATTCATAGAAATAGAGAGTAGAATGGCAGTTACCAGAGGCTGGGGGGTGGTGGGGGAATTGGGGAGATGTTGGTCAAAGAGTACAAACTTCTAGTTATGAAATGAATAAGCTCTAGGGAACTAATGTATGGCATGGTAATTGTGGTTAATAATACTGTACTACATACTTGAAAGTTGCTAAGAGAGTAGATCTTAAGTGTTTTCACCATAAAAAATAAATGGTAATTATGTGACATGCTGGAGGTGTTAGCTAGCTCTATGATGGTAATCATTTTGCAATATATATGTGTATCATATACATTGCACATATATACACATATATATGTGTATAAAATCACATTGTACACCTTAAACTTATGTAATGTTGTATGTCAATTATATCTCAATAAAAGTGGGAGAAAAAACTAAGAGTGGGAGATAAAAGAGGATTTGGAGCAATGTGAACTCAGGTAACAAAATGTTCCATTCTCCAGAATCTCTCATTCCCTAGCATTCTGGGTAATTTGGGGTTTGCCATATCCTTAATATATTTGCAGTGTATTTTGACTATAGCCCAGGCTGGCTTCTGGAATGCCAGCTGTTGGGTGGGGTAAAATAACAAAATCCCATAGGATCTCAAAGACAGAAGTCTGTATGAGCTCACACTCAAAAGACTAAAGGAGAAACCATTCCTGCCAATTTTGGAAAAAAGCAATCTGCTTAACAGTGTAGCAGACTGGAGCCAGAAGTGGCCAATGGGGCTGCAAATGAAGCAGTGGCTACAGAGGCAAGAGAGGAGGGAGAAAGGAGAGGCTTTGAACTTGATAGCAAGTTCAAAGGCAAATGATTCAAGTCCCTAAAACGATATGGCCAGTCCTTGTGCACAGATGTTAGCAGCTGCTTCTATAAGCCCCTTTTCCTGGTTGCCTGCCTCAGGAAAACCACATGGTGGCTGATGGGGAACAGAAACGGTCTTACGGACTGGGCTCTCCTGTTCCCAAAGGAAGGAAGAGAAGGTAGCACTTTTGAGAGATCCTTTGCTTCTGAGAGGGGCTAGTTTAAGGCATCTATTCCTGTGGGCTATTTACACAATCGTGTGTGTGTGTGTGTGTGTGTAAGGGGGAGTGTCCTAGAGCCATCAAAGAGCGGTTATGTACTTTCCCCGCCTAGGGATTGGCTAAGTCTTCAGGGAGTCTCTAGGAGGTCATGTGCAGTGGAGCTTAAGAGTTGTTTGCCATTGGAGTCACCCAAGCATTGCTGAGTGCTCTCTAGAACCCCAGTCCCTTCCAGAAGTAGTGACCTTGAGGACTCTGAAGTCACTGGTGAGGAAACTCCAGGCTGGCCTAGGACCTGAGGCTTCCCATGAATGCTGCCCAGCATAGGGTGTCATCTTCAAAATTTGTGGAGGAGGGGAAACTCATTTGGGACTGCAAAGATCAGGGAAGGCTTCCCAGAATAGGCGGGGTTTGGGCTGGACCTTGAAGGGCAGTCCTTCAAGCTGGAACAGCTACTGCTCGACTTTGATGATGCCAGTATGGTCCCCAGTGCCCAAAGTTCCCCTCCTGAACAGCTAGCCTCTGAGTAGTGGCCAGCAAGCGTGGCCAGCAGGCTCACTGGCTAAGGCCAGAGGGTTTCTTTGACCTGAATGATCCAGATAATGGCCCCAGATCCTTATTTCGCTGAGTTCCAGGAAGAACCCTTAGCACATCACATTCCTGAGCAGAGTTTCCATCTGTCGAGTACAGTTGTACAGTGAGCGATGCTTTCATTTCGAGGGACTGAGGGCTCTAAGTTGGTGACTATATAAGCTTAGACCCCTAGGGAAACAATGAAGGCTTGGGAAATAGTGAGGTCCTTGTGGAGTTTCAAGCCTATTTCCAGTGGCTAAAAGGCACTAATGAGTATAATGCAGGCAAGCGACATTGGTTCAAACAAACAACTAATTGGAGTTAAGAGAAGAAGTGTGCAGAGGCCCCTAATGAATGGATATGCTAATTGGTCTTCTTTGCTAGCCCCTTGGGCTTTGGCTGTGACATAGACTAACCTATTAGATGCCTGCTCTGTAATAGCTGCTGAATGCTGGGGCCCTTTATTGCCATGGTAACATTGATGTCGAGAGTCTAGCTGAGCCCCGGATCTCTTAATTTACTACTCAGGCGGCTACAATTCTTTGGGTTTTATTATTCTTCATGCCCCGGGTGCCAGAGTGGCAGTGAATCATGCTTATTCATCCTCTGCACCACCCACGGTGTCTTTGAATAAGTCAGGGTGTCTCTTACTGTGTGTGATGAGCAGATTATTAAGTTCGAGCCTGTTTCTGCCTTAGCTAGACTAGTGCCTCTCAGAAACCCAATGTACCTCTCTAACCACTTGCTTACCTGATACATCAGATGGCTTTTGGTGAGCGGAGCGATGGCACTGCAGTGGGCTGGCAGAGGCCCAGCCTCCCAGGAGCTTTGTGCTTGCTTGGTGGGCAGGGAGAAGCAGAGCAATATAGGTGGGACAGCACCCACCAGGAGCATGAACCTTGGAGACACATGCCATCCAAAGGGAGCAGTCAGAAGGGGAGAAGAGTCACTGCAGAGAAGGTCCTGGCTGGGAACTGTGGTGCTGGAAGTTTCAGTCTCTCTAGGGTCAGGGGGAAGGGCCTGGGTAGAAAAGGTGATCCCTCGTTCTTCGTGACTCCAGAGGAAGGGAGCAGCCACCAAAAGCTAGAAGTTACTGGGAGGATGGATTTCACTTTATTTTCTCAAAGACACTTGTTTAAAAAAAAAAAAAAAGCTGGAAGCTGGTCACAGAGACCAGCTGCCTCTGAAACTTAGTAAGTAACTTGTCACATGAGCTGCCCAAGCTTTGGTCTCTCAGTATAGAGATGTTCTAAGATGTTCTAAGCGTGCACAGCCAGGGGGTGAAGAGTAGGACTCTTCCAATTTTGAAATCTTTTGTGTCTATATATGATGTTGTTTAATTTATCAGGACATATGCTAAACTTGGGTGATACTTTATATGCACATGTGCTTGCTTTAACAGCGCAAATGCTAAAATTGGGATGATACTCTATATGTGTTTGTCTGTGTCTATCTCCAGCCATAGATGAAACCTTGCAACAGGTGCAGAGGTATTTTCCTGACACCCCTGTTGCTAAGAAATGGGCAACCTGAAGCTTAAAGATAAATCGGTCAATAACCCCCCAAATTACAAATGACTCTTGCTAGCAGAAGAGATTCTTGGTTTTTGTGGGTTTTTTTTTTTCCATTTCACTGCAGCATTTGACTGGG